AGCAACTCAGATTTGCTATAAAATCATTGTGTTAATATAGCTGGATAAAATTTTGAAAGAACTTTTTCCAACAAATTCTGAATGAAGAAACATTAGAAATTATGTATGATAGATGAGGCAGACTCTGAAGAATTCATTAATACATATTTCTATGATCTAGTGGGGAAAGCAGTACTGGTATGTTTTTTCTGTTGAGTTTTCATTCAGAATCCATTGAGAAGTCTTCTGTATTTTTGCCTCATTGGCTTTTAATAACTTAGTCTGCCAGTACAGTAGTATTGTTGCTGAAACTAATCAGGTAATCAGGTAAGGGTCTCCCTGGGAGAGTGCCTGTTTGGCAGCTCTGTGTATGCTGTCTAAGTTCCATCAAGAAAGGTGGGATATTAACAGTAAATGGATACAATATTGTTTCACTTAGGGTTTTTTTCCCTTCAGAAACTTCAGTGGCAAATTAGCAAGGTATGTAACCCTGACTGTCAGGAAGGATAATGGGGTCGCTATTACCTAGGCAAACTTGGATGAGTCCCCCCGCAAAAAACTAAACAGAGTCAAATTTGGATGGGAGACCACCAAGGAACCCCAGGGCTGCAGGCTAGACTGGAAAGTTGAAAAAGCATCCTGGAAAAAGGCAATAGAAAACAACTTCTTTATACGGATGAGCTCAACTCAAATGAGACATAATCTTTACCTTACAGTATTACCTTGAACAATTTTATCTAAACTGGGAAAGGGTTTGTCACCATTTGACCCCTAACCAGTTCTGTTTACAAACAACTGACATCGTTAAGTGGAATGTAAATATTGCTTTATGTGACTTCACTGGCAGTATTTTTGTCATGTAAAGCATTCAATGCCTGAAATAAGTTTTCTTTGCCTTAAGAGTTTTTTTAGAATGGGTTCCCATGCGCCTGTCCTTTCCCATCCTCTCCATACTCTGCGTAGCTTCTTGTCTATTGCCTTGTGGTGAGTTCCCGTATGGAGCAAGTCACAAAAAAGGTCCCAGTGTTTTGGACTTATGGACCAAAAAGTAGGTGTTTTTCTTCCCCAGAGAATGCTACTGAGTTTGTTCAGTGCAAGTGAATATTTATAGATATACTTGCCATATTCAAGGATCCACAATAATACATATCTTTTCTATGGAGATATTTCTTTGTTTCCATATATATATCCTAGGAGACCACTAATTCAAGTCTGCTTGTCCAATCCACAAACATAAAGGATAGTATTTATATTTGTCTATTACTGAGCCTATCTGGACAATGACAGGGATATAGCCCTGTTGGAAATCTGACCTACAAGGGCTCAGGTCTTAATAGCAGCTGCAGCACTAAGACTATTCCTGTGATTCTGAGACTTGTGTGGTGATAAAGAACACTGCCCTGGAGGTGACCAGTTGTTGTTATTATTGTTTGTTTAAATTCATTACAGCCATCCACTGAACACTAAAAGCCATTAAAAACATATAAGCCCATAGGCAGCCTGGACTAAAACAAACAATTACAAAGCAGAGCAAACCAGGGGCCCCACAAACACATCAACCCCAGGCCTGAGACCATAGCCAGGTCTGAAATGCTGTTCAGACACTAAGGGGGTGCTGTCTGTATCTCTTGGGGAATGCTGTTCCAAAGGACGGGGCCATGACAGGGCATTCTTCCTTGGTCCTATAAGATGGCAACATTTAATAGAAGGGACCTGGAGCAAACCTACTGTGCCAGAACATACCAAACAGGTAGAAACAGTTGGAGATAGGTGGTTCCTCTGGTATCCAAGCCCTATGCCATAAAGGGCTTTATAAGCACCTTGAATTGAAGCCAACTGGCAACCAATGGAGCTTGCACAGCAGTGGTGACATATGTGCATACCAGGAGGCACCCATTACTGCTTGTGTTGCTGCATTTTGTACCAGCTGCTGGATGGTTTTCAGGGGCAGCCCCATATAGAGTACATTGCAATAATCCAGTCATGCCAGAAGTGCCCATGCATTTGGAATGCACTGACAAGCTAGGGCTGCAACTGCCTAGCTATCCAGCAGTAGCCCTCCCCAAGTCCTTGAACCTCATCTGGAGGCTTAGTACTTAGTAACTTGGTACATAATAAAATCATCTCTGGGGTTAAGTCTAATGGACTTACAGTAGCCTCAAAGAATTGATTTAGGGAACTCTCAGCTCCAGCTTAAACAGCAGATGGGAACGGTGGCCAGGAAGCCTTTGCCACTATTGGGCCCTATTGGACCCAAATACCCTGGAAAAAGCAAACCATGTCCTGATCACCACTTGAGGCTGCCTTTAGAGATGCCCTAGAAGCTGTAGCTGGTACAAAACGCATTTGCTAGACTCCTGATGAGACAACCCCGCAGGTCAATGCCTATTTTGAAGTTGTTGCATTGGTTGCCAGTAAGCTTCTGGGTCCAATTCAATTTTTTTTATCATCATCATCATCATCATCATCATCATCATCATCATCATCATCTTTAAAGCACTTTATGTCATAGCTCCAGTATATGTCAGTAATATAATTGAACACACCCATCTGGTCAACAAGTGAGGCCCTGGGGCAGATATCTCATCCTCATAAAATACTTGGGGCTTGGATCTGGTGATAGTAACATTCTCACGGTAGCTTCCATTTTATAAAATGCCCTCTCCCAGGAGATACAAATGGCTGAACCTGCTGGCATTTCATAAACAACTTAAATCAGTGTGCATTCAGTGATTAGATTAGATTACTTTTGCTTTTGCTTTTAATTATATTATTTTAACTGTTTACATTGAGGTTTTACTTTTGTGTTTATCTTTTGCACTTGATTTTGTTGTACTCCATTCAGAGGCTGTTAGGGTGGGGATGGGTTATAAATATTGTAAAATAGTTAAAGTATTCAAACCATAAATTTTCCCCTTTGCAAAGAAGGGGAAAATTTTGAATGTATTTAGGACTGGAAAAAATGAAGACAAAGCAACTGCGTGGGGGGGGGGGAAACCTGTTTTTTCCAAGCCTTCACATCTTCATTATTCTTTCTTATGTCTTATATGAACAGTGAAATGTCTACCTGTGTGACAAGTGGATCCCTTAGGGTTAAATCTAGAAATAATCTAGAATTCCCTGATTGTAGTTGTCTAAAACCTCAGAGAGTCCAAAATATTAGTCTTGACTTCACTAGTATCAGCATCATGAAATTGTGATGGTGATGGTGATGGTGATGGTGATGGTGGTGGTGGT